AAAATACGTGACCTGATGTATAAAACTGGCAGGTTCCCCTGTGGCAGCATGTTACCTGTAGGAGAGATCTGAGCCTCAGCGGCCATTCAGTCCCCTGACTTATTCCCTTACCTCCCCTGCCTGAAAAATGATGAGAACACACTGATTCGGGCCCAAACTCGTGTTATATTATCGAGGTGGAAAAGAGCCATATGTATTAGGAGGGGAAACTGAGGCAGACCACAGGACGGGGCTCCAGAGGGAGGACAACAGGGCCCAGGACCCCTTCTGGAGGCTCAGAGATGCCAGTGTTCCACGAGGTCTCACAGCATAAAAGGGGCCTGACTACATTCGCTTTTAGCAGTCGGAATGGCGGATGGTCAGGCAGTGGCTGGGATCACATTTATATCCTTCGAATCAGCATCCTGGGCCTCCCCCGGGGTGGGCAGGAGGGACCCGGTGTCATCTCCACGGAGGGAGATCCAAGGGGCTGTGGAGAGAGAGGGGCAGGTCATCAGAATCTCTGAGGTGCTCTGGGTCTGACTGGCATCCCCCATTTCTGTGTGTGTCTCACACACACTCCCTCAGTCTCTAACCCCTTCCTTCTGGGCCTGTCTCCCCTTCTCCCAATTTTCCATCCCCCCTCTTTCTACATCTTTGCCTCCCTCCTCGGGGTCTCTGTCTCCCCCTTCCTCTGTCCCCTCTCTCTGTGCCTCTGTTCCCCCGTCTCTGGGTTTCTGTCTCCACTTCTCTCTGGTCTCTGTCCTCCTCTCTTTGGGTCTGTCCCCACACCAAGTCTCTCTCCTCCCAGGTCTGTTTGCCCCTCTCTTGGGGTCTCTGTCCCTCTCTCCAAGGCTCTTCCTCCCGCTGCCCACACCTGGCAGCCCACTCCTCATCCTTCTCCACAACAGAGCTCCTCCTACAGCCGCTGCCGTGAGTAGCAAGACACCGACGACGATTCCCACCACGAGCACCGAGGACTTGGCTGGAGTTTCTGCAGCCAGAGAACGCTGTGAGATGTGGAGCAGCCCGTCCACCCCCACCCAGTCAGGACACAGCACTGGGGGGTCCCAGTCCCTCCCAGCCTCGGAGATCCCAGCACCAAGTGTCTGATGGACAGAGGCAAGGCCAGGCGGGCGATCTCGGCAGGGTGCCCCCAGGCTGGATGTAAGAACCAGCCACAGCACGAGCAGCCGCGGTCACACCGGCAATGGACCAGCAGCGGCAGGGTGGGGCTGTCCCGGTGCAGCGGGGAGAGGCAGGCAGAGCAGTGGGAAGTCAGCCTCATGGGCCCCGGGCAGTAGCAAGGCAGCAGGTGGTCAGTCTTGGTGAGGACGGGCATAGCAGACAACGAATGGTCAGATTCCAGGAAGACCTGCAGCTGCAGCTGCAGCTGCAGCAGCAGCAGCAGCAGGATGGAAGACCGTCAGACTCAGGGAGGACTGGCCATGGTGGTTAACAGCTCTTCAGACTCAGTGAGGCCAGAAGCAGCAGGACGGAAGGCAGTCGGCCTTGGGAAGGACAAGGCATCAGGCTTTGGGGGCACTGACAGGCGCGAGGCACAAGGCAGTCAGATTCAAGGAGGTGGCAGCAGCGGGGAGGAAGGTCAGACTCAGGAAGGACCTGCGCAGCAGTGAGACAAGGCAACGGGAAACCAGGAGCACCACCACCGGGCGGGGCCTCACCCAGCTCCACCCTGAGGGGCTGCGCCAGCCCCGCGTGCTGCACGATGCAGCAGTAGTGGTGCTCATCGCCACTTTTGACTGTTAGTGACGACGAGGCATGGAAGGAGCCGTCACTGTTGGGGCCGAAGTCGCCCTGGCCGGTGCCAGCGGCCAGCCCATTCCGCAGGAACCGAAGTTGCAGTTCCGGAGGGTAGAAGGAGAAGGCGCTGCAGGTAAGCACGGAAAAGCCAGGGTTGCCGGGTCGGGCCTTCAGGCGCATGGAGGGGGGCTCTGCAGGAAACCAGGCAGACAGGTCTAAGCCCCGAGCCCACCACTCCCAGGGCCAGGGCTGGGTAAGGACAGAAAGAGGCCTCCATGTTTGCAATGTGCTAACCCCGGATAATGTGGTGGTAAAAGAGGAGGCGCTTCCCAGGTGACAGAGACTGAACCTATCCACCCTGAAGGTGTCCCCTCAAGATGTCACCTCCCTGGGCTGGGCATGGTGGCTCACGCCTGTAATCCCAACACTTTGGGAGGCCAAAGTGGGTGGATCACCTGGGGTCAGGAGTTTGAGACCAGACTGGCCAACGTGGTGAAACCCCATCTCTACTAAAAATACAAAAATTAGCTGGGCACCTGTAGTCCCAGCTACTCAGGAGGCTGAGGCAGGAGAATCGCTTGAACCTGGAAGGCAGAGGTTGCAGTGAGCTGGGATCGCGCCACTGCACTCCAGCCTGAGTGACAGAGCGAGACCCCGTCTCGGGGAAAGGAAAAAAAAAAGATAGAGGATAATTATGAAAAATTCCATACTAACACAGTTGAAAATTTAG